AGTCAAATGCAAAATGTTTCGAGCTGAACACCTAAGTGTTTCAAATTAGGAAACTCCAATGTTCACAAACCTAGCGGGCGTCGTATGGAATATAATATAAGAAAGTGAAAATTACAAGAGATATCAAATACAAGTGTTCCATCTTCTTGCAGAAGAGCAAACGAGACATGTTTGCTTTAAGAGCTATCAAGAAAATGAAACAGACCTTCAGTTTCCTCCTGCTGCTTAGCTACAGGTAAACTGAAAAGCAACGTTAAAAAGCAAACAGCAGAAGCTTGGGTGTATAACATTGCACCTCTTACTGCCCACTGATGTGTATTTAAACCATTACCTTTTCTTTGGTGTGAGAAAACAATCTTTCACCAATTAAATAATTACTCATACAGGATTACACCTCTCCTCCTTTCATGGGAATCTGAATTATGTCCAACATCTTTACAGAAGCATGTTTTAGGATAAATATGAATAAGATCACAGTGTGAAACAAACGGTGGCTGGTATGCGGCTACTAAAGTGGCTGTAGCTGGCCACGAAGTGTCATACCACTACAGAAGCATACTCCAGGGATATCTAGTTCTCTCTCAGATGATGGAGCATGAGCCTTAGCTGGGAGAATTCCTCTCTTCATTCCAGAGGCCTGTAATAACCCCAAACTATTGCATGTCCAGCCAGAGAACAACTTAAAAGACTTAAGTAATATGAAGGGATACTGAAGCATACCTGTACTGGGCACCAGGCAGGCCTCCTCACCGCAGCAGCTGGGAAATGTAATCAGGGAGGTCATTGACATGTGTACAGTTTCAGCAAGCGAGAAGTGAAAAAATCAGCAGTAACCCCATTGCTCATTAACACAGAATGCAGCAGTCCTCAGATGCCCCCGTGTGATTCCTACACGCACTACACCGCCTGAGTTTTACAGAGGACCTCTAAAGAACGCGTGTGGGGAGGGAAGGGACTGGCAAGTGAAGGGAGTTCGCATGGACACATGACATTTTATGTTTACTCGTGAACTGGGGAGCGCTCAGTTCTTCCCAGAGCGGAGTCCGGGGGGAACACAGCTTACTTGCCACAGATGATAAAGCACACAAGTCTGTAACTTCGAGGTTTTAAAGTAAATCAGACATATTCTTTCTGTAGATTGGAATGACTCCAGTTAGTCTCTTAACTCCTAAAACATATAAAAGATTTGTTACATTTTATGAAACATCTGGATAGAAATCCCGTATCTAAAAGTATCTCAGAGTACAACTCCTTAGTGAATTAGTATCCTTAAATACTACACTTACTTAGAGACAACCCAACAATATTCAGTGCCCTCTTGTGGTTTGACTTATGAAAGAAGAAAAATTCTAAGCGAAACTACTGAAGTTTGAACAGTGTCACAAACTGAGGTAGCACGTATATCACAGTGTCCTCACAGACATGTTCAAATCTCACCAGACTCAAAAGCCCCATCTAAAGAGACAGACCCAGGCACACTTCCCAAACACAGAAAACCTTCTAGCCCTGACTACCTGTCAAAAGATGACCCAGGTGCACAGAAATCCTCCCCTCTCCCTGGGAATGAAGCCCTGGTTTAGGACTGGAGCAGGACAAAGAGGAGTTCTGCAGAGCTTGCGTATCCTATGACCAACATAGTGCCAATGAGAATGAAACACACTGAGTGCTTTCTCTCTAAATAATGAAATATGCATTGCTATAATAAACAAAAATTAAATGCAATCTCTAACAAAGAGCTTATAACCAGATTTAGGAGAGACAATAATCCATTTAGAGCTCAGAAAACTACATTCAAAGGGGAAAGAATAATAAACTAATAAAAGTAAATTTACATATTTTTGCTGTATTTCCAGCATTCAAAATAAGACATTAACTCAATTTCATAACCGTATTATCATCTGTATGTCCTTAGAACGTAAAAGCACAAAAAATAACCAAGGGGTTGTTCAGCAAAGAAACACAAGGCAGAAGGATAAATTATCTAGATGCCACTTGCTGGTCCAATATCACAAACAGCCCAAACTCACTGACAATTCTTTCCGCAGAAAAACATTACCTCTTCTTAGTAAATCTACTTTTAAATATCAAGGTTTTGCTATTGGCCCCACACGTTACATACCTCTTTCTCTCTCCTTTTAGGAAGTTATTTATCTATTAAAATCACATGGGACAGCAACATATGAATGTGGGAGGCAGAAAAGAAGCATGAATGACTTTTGTCCAACCTTTCATCTTTTCTGCTTGTGGAAAGATCTTAAGATGTGATATAAGGTAACTGTTGGCTCATGAGAGGACCATAAGCCACAACTCATCAGTTCAAGCAGTATACACACCATTTTAATAATCTGAAGTGTGAAGGCATACAACTGACCATGTATTTAAGTTTAGAAAGCATCTGGAAAGGAAGACATAGCACCAAGGGGACAGATCATCTTTATTATGTAACAAAGTGACAAAAAGAAAATAAAATATTTTAATAGAAGAAAAAAATAGAAGGTACAATTCAAACATAATATACCATACTGAAACCATACACAATGCAACATGAACATGAAAACATTGTTAAACAGCAATCTTCTAGTAAAGATTGCATGTTTCGAGTACAAGCATCACCCATCACAAATACACAGCTTTTTGCCTATGTCTGAGTTTCAGTGAAAAAGATCATGACCAGCAGCAGCATATTTAAATAGATTGTTTCATTTTCATTAAACGCTTACCTAATGAATGTATTGGATGCAATCTCTCCATATTAAAAAGTATAGTATCTTAAGCAAGGCAGCGCCTGCCAATACAGATTTTAACATATGCAAATAAACATTTTGCAAGTTTTTTTTAATATTGCATTTATACACATTTGTTGTTTTAAAATGTGTATTCAAGTCTCTCAACATTTAAACGACTAAAATGTTCAGCAACTATGCATCAAGTGACAACTAATTATTGCTATAGAAAAATTTGTTTCCCAGAGTTTTAAAGTAGATGTAATTTAATTTGCAATTCTCAAGATACGTTCAAGTAATAGAAATAACTAGTTCCAGTGTCCATGAGGCATTCTGAATCTGTATTGGCTGTAGGCATTTATTGCCAGATCATATAAATATTTTATTGAATCTAAAAAAGTTAACTAAACTTAGATATAACTATTAAATTCCTTAGGAAATGTATGCAGTAATAAAATCACCATGGTATGTGTTTTTATTTTAAAAAGCTAAAACCTTAGCATCAGGCTACCTTGAAATTCCTTTCTGTCTCAGGGCACTATTTCATAGTTGGCTTTATCCAGCAAAAGAGAAAGTAAAAATCCAAACCACCTTTTCAGTTGGATCAGTGAACCACTCCAAAACAGTACGTGGTCACACAAGCACTAGAGCTGACAGACGAGTGAGAGTACACAGACTAGAGTATGGGGGGCAAACAGGGAAGTTGGAGTACATGATCAAAGCGTGGCCTGCTGTCAAAATACTGTATTAAGCCAGCAAAAAAATGCAAGACGTTAAGTTGTTATAAAAAGAATATAACCTTTAGCGGTTTCTGAAATAGCCAACTTTCTCTGTATTTTAGCCAGCTATGCCCTCAGTAATGTTTTACACTCTTAAAAAACCCAGAAGATAGAAATGTCAAGTTATACTGTATAGTGTTTTAGTTCCAACACTCAACATATTAGAACTAAGATTCAGCTCTGAAATGCATTACATGGCAGAATGAGGCATTTCAACCTTACCAGTTTTGGAATATGAAATATCCCAGTATTTAAAGAATTATCAAAACCTCTATCTGGAGAGCAAATGGGAGCCAGGGCACAAGGAGCAGATTGTACTTTGGCTGCACAACTGCTATTATTACACATAAATCACCAACTAGACTAGGAACGTTACTGAGGATGTTCTCCACTACGTATACAATACCCATTAAGAACAGTAGTTTGAGAACGGGCTACAGCGACACAGGATGAAGTGTCAGTCCTAAAAGGTATACATTCAGAACAGGCTCTGTTGAAATCTAAAAAATATAAGCTGTGCAGCTTTCTTTCCCCTTCTCCCCATTAGTATTAAATAAAAGACCTTAGTAGTTTTAAAACTGGATTTTCCATTTAAATTCAAAATTGCATTATGGCTCTCTTTTCTCTGATTTTAATGACAGTCTTGCTGGGAATATGGAAATCTAGAATAGGAACTCTTAAAATATGTTGGTAACTATTTTAGAGCAAGCTTTTCTTCTCAACTGTTTTTTCCAAAGCCTTTGGATGCAGGAGATGTCCAAGTTTTAAACAGTCTTACCAAAATAAACAAGGTCATTTCCGAGTGCTGGTAGCTCTGAAGCCAATTAGTTCTTTAGTCACACAGCCTTCCATGAAAGACAGGACAGACCAAAACTTGAATTCTAAATGCAACAACAGTTCTTAAAAAGCTCCAACAAAATGAAAAACTAGCTGGTCACAGTCATATACCAAAAAAGTATACCTTTTGCACGTCATCTTGAATTGCTCAGAAAGTATGTCATCTTCCTTAGTAGTTGGGAGCACAAGGAAAACTCCTCACCCATCACTTTAGTAAGCAAGTGTCCTATTTCAGCTATGCTCCAAAAAGGGAAAAAATAGATGTAATTATTCCTTGGCAATGGCCTCATTCTTTCTCAATGAAAGGTGGAAAAAACCCTGCTCTGCATTGCTGATCTATAGAAAACAAATATTTTTATTTCTTGTTATTTTCATTCACATAGTAACAGTAAAAAACAAATCACAACATCAAATAAAACTTTCCTTCAGCAGGCGGAGAAAAAAAAATTATCATCTCATAGATATCCTAGCAGATGACAGCTGAACTCAACAGTGCAACAGCGCATCTTTGCATGTCTTTCTAAAGATACTTTCAAAGTTGGTCTTGGTGAATTAAAATATCTGACACTAATAAAAGAAACCATGTAACTAACGGTAAGTAGTAAAAGTTAGAGAAAATGAAGACAAAATGAGAACTTTCAAAAAGGTCCCTAATTCTACAGGGACAGATCTCAGTAAAGATGTCAAGTTTTAGTTTCAGCAAAATAATTTATGAAATGTCCTTATGAACATGGAAAAAAGTTAAGCCTGAAAAGTGGTTACTGAATACCATTTTTATCAATATACACTTCAGATCACCAACAGAACTAATGTATTTTTTCCTCTCAGATAATCAGTAAGATGAACGGGGCTATACTTTAAAAGCTCACATGACAGGATTCTTGAACTGCATTTTGGTATTGGGCTTCTTCATCAAGCTGAAGATTCTAAATAAAATGAAAACATCATCAAAATGGACAAATAGTCAAGATGTACCATAGTCCTTAGTTTAATCATTCAGTTTCCACAATTTTACACAGGAATTGGCACCTAGATGAAGACTCTCCATCTTTATGTGTACTAGACGATTGTTTATGTTGCACAGTATCTTTTCTTTAATCAAGTACCAAGAGATACATGAGACAGGAGAAGAATCAGATGAGTGGGACAAGGCTCATTAAGCAGAAGGGTCCATCTTCTCTCCCTGGCTCAATTACATTACAGAATAGCCAGCTCAGGAAAGCTGACTGCGTCACACAATTCTTACAACAGGGCTTCCAACCAGCCATAACATCCTCCATTAATAAAACCAAAATGTGATCCTCAGACAACAGTAATCATAGATTGTTGAGAATATACTGCTTAAAATGAGAAAGCAAACACGTATCAGAAAAGATGGGTGGTTAACTCTGCTGCTTTTGAAGAGCTATCTTCCAAGTTGTTAATATACCAGAGTAATACATCTTTTTAGTGCAATTCTGGCAGCTTCCCAATATCAGAACTCTGATCACCACTTTTTCATCCTCAAACATGCAAGACACAGGGGATTGGACTATTCAATGTGAGTGTATCAGTCTCCTAGTTCTTCATGCCTTTGTCACAGATCACTCAACACAAAGAATGCATCATCTTTGCCGTCTTTAACCAGTGATGCTGCCTATGCCTCAAATACTACGCTTGTCCCACACAAAGCTCAAACTCTGCCAAACTCTGTAGAAACTACGACACAAACTCTCCAGCTCTGATCCCACATGCAGACCTCAACTGGTTGGCTTGACTTACAATCCACCCACTGACTACAAGTATGTATGTAGTTCTGCGTCTACTCCAAGGTCATTTACTCAAAGTGAGCCTGAAAGAAGGCAACCAGAACAATGATTTAACGACACATCTCTTTTCCACATTGCAGCCTCTTTCACAACATATTGGAAGATACAATACAGCAATACCAGCTAGTCAAGCTGCGCTTCAGAGTCCTGAGAATTATTATTTAGCCATTTCTGCCATAAAAGGTCAAAAATGTCAATGAAACAGAGTAGCATCTATTTTATTTCCTCCAGAAGCAGCAATAATAAACTGTTCTAGAGGAACACACAGTTCAGATTGAGAACACTAAGCTAAAAACTTAAGTTATCAGTTTGGAGCAGAATTTAACTGTTGACAACACCTATTCCTGGTAGCACTTCATGTTGGTAACGGAAAGTTTAAGAGCAGACGGGCCTACTTCTGAGTTCTGTACAGGGCAGGAACACAGCATGTCCAGAGCACAAACAAGTTTGGTACAAATTTTTTATTTGGCATTTTTATTTATAGAAAAAAGTTACCATTTATTCCCCTACACATCAAAGAAGAAAAAGCTTACCACAAATTCTCCGTAGTCAAACCGGTGTCTTAGATTTAGATGGCTAACAAGATTTCTAGTAACCTGGTTAGTATCTGCCCAAGGAAGAGATACACAAATAGGACAGATCTGAATTTGGAGGGGAAGGGGAAAGAGAGAGAATTAAAAAAAAAAGTTATTGGTAATACAGAAAGCATTAAAGACATGTTCTACAGGAATAACTAGTCTACTACTCAAACCAAAATACAAGAGAGATGTTAACATAAAATTATAGTTCTAAGTGTTCCTTTTCCTCAATTGTGTAACATTCAAAAATTACATTTCAACTTGCCAAATTTCTTAAGTAGGGGGTTATCACATCTGTCTGGCACTCTGTCAATTTCTGTTGTTTAAAATTTAGAAAAGAAAGTGATTACTGCATACCTACTTATTGTTTGGGAGGCTTTTCATACAATTGAGATGATCAAGTAAGCCGAAAGAAAAAATAACACACCCTATACAGATTAAAATAATAGAAAACAAAGCAGATTTTTCTCCATCATTCCCTTTGATTACCTTAGATTACTTTTCAAATAACTGTAGGTTTCACATGAAAAAATAGTTAACGTTACAAATGGGATTCTATCGAAGCAGATGTGAATTACTAAATGAAGAAGAGTGTCAGGCTCAAAAACTGAGTTTGCTTCACATCAAGATAAATGAGACTGCTAAGTCAGAAATGCCTCAGACCCGTTAAGAAGCCAGACAAGAAGCATTTTCAAACGAAAGTCACTCCTAAAGTTAAATACACTCCATTAAATACATTGTTTTTCTCAGACCACAGTGATCTTTACAGATACCGAGTAGCTACTGCACATTTAAAATTGTTCACGTAATTATAATGGAAGTAGCTTAAAAAGCATACATAAGCAACTCTACTTACTACAGGAACTATCTGATAAAGATGTCTATTATTACAGTGATCCAGCAAGCGTTGTCTGGTAAAATTGGCTTCCTGACACAAGGGGCATTTGAAGGTTGGGTGTCCACTGTAAACAGAAATACACAGTATTAAACAGAAAGAGAGTTTTAGTAGTGTTACAGACAGCTTAATTCATCTGTTATCTTGTCATTGTTTTCCCTTATTTTGATAACCACAACCCCCTCCCCGCCCCATCCCCAACTGACATAGTGGCAGATCAAACAGAGTTCCAGTGCTACTTCCAAATTGCAATCTTAAAGCACATTTATTATTTGTATGCCTAAATGTATTCTTCTGAGACTTGGAGTTTATAAAATTATTTTGTTCCAATTGCAGCTGCACCCTGTTCTTACTTACTGGTAACATCTTTCAGCACAAATCCTTCAGGAAAGTACTGAAAAAAATCCCAATTTCTAACATACAGATGCAAATGTAGAAGAAACTACAGGGTTTTTTTAATACAATTTCTTGTAGTTGTTTGTGTGGTGGTTTTTTTAAGTTAGTAGAAGCTTGCACTATGACCATCTGGATCTATTTTAATAATAACTATAGAAAAATAAACAGCGTACCTTGTTTCTCCTTGAAGTATTTGATTATTAGCCATCTCGCCATTATCAGATATTGCATCACTCCTGCTACTTTAAATGAAGAAAAGAAAAGAAAAGAAAAGAAAAGAAAAGAAAAGAAAAGAAAAGAAAAGAAAAGAGAAAAGAGAAAAGAGAAAAGAGAAAAGAGAAAAAAGAGAAAAGAGAAAAGAGAAAAAAGAGAAAAGAAAAGAAAAGAACACTCCTGCTACTTTAAATGAAGAAAAGAAAAGAAAAGAAAAGAAAAGAAAAGAAAAGAAAAGAAAAGAAAAGAAAAGAAAAGAAAAGAAAAGAAAAGAAAAGAAAAGAAAATTGAGATTATTTTACTCCACTATCAAACATTTTAAGTTTTACAGTAATGCAGGCAGGGAGGGGGCAAGGGAGAATCCATTAAGTCCCATGAATTTCAGGCAAAACATACAATGGCACATATTTTAAGTCTCACAACTTTTCCTTTGGATCAAGGTATTTGGTGTCAGTATTTAGTTACCACGGTGACCCTTTGAGGAACACTACACAAGTTTATAGGAAAGTGGTATATAATACAACAGACATTTAGTCAACAAGAATGGTAAGTACAGCCAAGTAGCTCAAAAGGCATCATGAACTACATGAATACAAGACAGGTAGCACTTTCGAAGTTTTTTGACTTCGGACTATGTAAATAGGCATTTAACTGCCAGGTATTTACACAAATAATTTACAAGGTTCAACTACAGCAAGATACATTTCCTTAGGCAATAGTTTGTTTTCTGCAGAGCGTAAAGAGTGACAAACAGTACCATTTTAGAAAGTAAATTTGACCATATATGCATTTCTAGTTAAGCCAGAAGAAACTGCTCAGACATGCTCTGATCATAAGAACATGAATATTTACAGTCACAAATCTGGTGACTGTACATTTTTTTATACTTTTGTGATATTATAAGCACAGGTATTCTACTGTGACATAGTCAATAAATAATGATATAACAATTTCCAGTGAAATGGTGAAACATTGCTGCAACTAGTTCTGGTACAGCTTAGACTTCCGCTTTCAATATACTGACGGGTTGAAAACCAAACACAGAGAAGTTCAGACTGCTAAAAATAGAAAATAGATGTCAAAACAAAGTAAATAAAGGACAGGCTATATACAATAATGCCCTGTGAAACTAGTATGTAAAAAAAGTCTTCAAAAATAAGCAAATATCCCCAACCAAACCAAATACATCAGTCAGAAGGTATGAAAAAGTAAAGTTCTTTAGCTTACTGCCTGAAAACAAATTGTAAGTGGCATTTGCGTTTTATGGTGTGTAACGTATTGGAGTTCCTCGTATGTTTCATAAGAGATCAACTCAAATTCAATCAGAAAGCAAAAGCTTGCACAGTAGCGTTTTCAAACAGGATACCCACTAAAACAGACTTAGGAAAGGGGAAGGGGAATAAAGAGAGGGAAACTTCCCTAGGGCTAAATATTATGAAATCTGCTACAAAGTAAGCTGCTCAAATGCTGTCAAGGCAAGGAAAGCAAGCTACAAATACTACGCACTTTTTAGGACAGCCTCTAGAAGACATTCCAAACCATCATGTAGAAAAGTTTTCTTCTGTATGCTAAGAGTAAAGAAAAAGACCTGGAAAAGCTGTCATTTTGTTGAAGCACAAAAATATGGACAATAATTATTGCAAAAAAAAGGCATGCCCTGGAAAAAAAATACTTTCTTTTGGGGTGGGGGAGTGGGAGACCAAAAAAGAAGAAGATGCATTGTTGTACATAAAACATCCTGATTACCTGTTCCCTGTTGAATCTTGGGAAATCTGTAAGTTTGGAATAATAGAAGAAACACCATATTCATCCTGATACTTCTTACACGTTTTATAATGCTGTCTCATCCACGAAAATCTAACCTGTAAATGAAATGCCAAATTATTGAAATTATACTAAACAATCTGGGGACAGAAGGAAGAGATAATTCTGCCAACAGAAAGCAACGCATGCAGGAATCGTACAGACATCATATGGAGCAGAAACCAGAACTTGTGTATCCCCTCTCAGCATGACCACTTTCTTCCCCGACAGTTCTTCGATTCCTTTTTCCATAGAGCCTGTGTCATTTTGTGAGACCGGAGAACACTCCCACTTCCCAAGTCCCCAACAGCCAGGTAACTGAGAGCTGTCTCAGGGGTGAAAGATGCGAGTAAACTCCATTTAACTGAAACAAAGTCACAGGAACTACACCTCCCACATCCAGGATCAATGACTGACGAGCTACAACAGAGAGGGGCCATGAGGATCGGATAAGCAACACTGCTCCTTCAGTCTTCTCTGGCCTGCTGTTACCTTGTGCAGAGCAAAATCTTTTTACATTAGGTGTGTTCTGATAACACATAACTTTTCTCTTTGAGAGAAAAAAAAGAAAAAAAAAGAAAAAAAAAAAGAGGTGAATGAACACCAACTTAAGGCTGCCTATCCAGCTTCAATGCAAGGTAAGACAATGAGTTGCTTAGATTTGTCAGAAGACAGCTGTGCTGGACGTGCCTTAAATCAGAATTTCAGGTCCAACAGCACTGTCAGAAAGTGCTTACAGGTATAGCACTGAACAAGATCACATCTTGTGCGTCTCTGCCTAAATTCCATTAAAGTTCTTCTGGGAATCTGTTTGGTTCTTCCTTCCAGTTTACCAACTTGTTGTTGCTTCTTTCTCATAGCTTTTCAACCTAATGAATCATGTGGAACAAAGCAGGCAGATCAGCTTTCCACTAGTGAGTGCTAATCTTCACATTGGCAGAACTAAGTCTGAAGTCAAATGAAACAAACAGGAAGACAACTATCTGGATTTAATACAATTTGATATAAACAAAATGTGTGGCTCAAATCCTGCATCCATTTCTATCAGAAAAGAGATTATTCTTGATTTCAGAGGGGATCAAGATTTCACCCAATGTTCTGAAAATAATGACTGCTTTACAAAGGGAATGAAAGGAATGTAAACAGACGGGGAAATTCCATGTGACTGTATGTACACCAAAAGTAATCAACCTGTATTTTTTTGTCTTAAATTTTACAGTAGCTCCAAGCACTTTTGTCTCCATAGTGAAAGTTTCTGAGGTTTTCCATATATCTACAACTTCCATTTTCAGTTGTCTAACTTTTCTTTTGCCAGTTTTATAGCTATATCCAGTTTTCGCATTATTTGGGGGGAAAACTGGCATTCCACTTAAAAAGTCCTTATAGACAATAAAAGATACTCTTTCAGTTTACACCTGTTAGGCATTCCTAGCAGGCACTGCATGCCCAGTACACGTACAAGCCATACAAAGCTAAGTTCAAACTGCTATAGGCTCTGTAGCTCCAAGACAAAAAAAAGACACACAGTAAAAGTGCGTCTGGTCAAAAATAGGAAAAATTTATCCAACTTTTTGTAAAGTTTTACTCTACCTGCTTCTCACAGCATCTACAGCCCCCAGAAGCTTTCTTCATACTGTTTTCAACATCTAGAGCCCTTTTGGGATATGTTCTTTCTTTTTTAGTCACGCTCCCCCGGCAGAGAGGACAATGTGTTCCACTTTCTCTGATAGCTGTCAAGAAGCACTTCCTGCAAAACCTAAATTAAAAAATTACCACAAACACAGGTTAGCAAAGTGAAGAGAATTAGATACTTTGTCCTTGAAGAAAGCTGGGTGATTATTAGGAAAAAAAAGATATATATATGAGTAATAGTCTACTGAATATAAATCTTTATAAGTAAAAATGAAATAATGGTGCTTACAAAGAAGTAAACGGAAATTAGGGGAATGTGGCAACGCACTTTAGGTAAAGATATTCCTATTTACTGACTACTATTCCTGAGCTGTACACCGGATTGATCATTAATGAGATATTAAATGGTGCAGCAGGCACATGATATTGGAAAAACCTTATCAGAGTAGCTCCTGTTTATTGTCCTTAAGCGGAGCCAAAAATACTGCAAGGCTTCACTTAGCATGCATTTCCAAAGATTTCGGTCCATCAGCTTTTGCAGTTCTCCTCTCACTTTCTTCTCCTCGTGTGCCAACTGCCAAAGCTATTTTGTTTTTCTACACAGTAGTACTTTGCAATGAAGTATTCCTCTGAAAAACGCACCCTTTTCCACTACGAACAGATGAACTGAAAAGAGAACTACTACGCTACGGTCCTCGTTTGAAAACGAACAGGAAACTATAAAGTTAAAAACGCGGATTAGGTTAGACGTGATAAGGCGTTTTCATCGGCTGTGAAACTCGGCCACCACCGATCGGACAACCGGGGGTTCGGTCCTGACAGACCGGTCCTCGTTCGCTACAAGAGAAAGAGCCGAGGGAAGGCCGGGGCAGCACCTCGCGCACAAGCCTTAACGCCAGCTCGCGGCGGCGTGTGGTAACGAGCTCCACGGGTCCCGCTGCGCCTCCCGTCCCGGCTGGCTCCAGGCCGAGGGTCCGTACGCTGAGGCGTGGGAGGCAGAGAATTAAAAGGCAGAGAAGCGGAGCAGGCAAGGAAAAGGCTGGTG